CCTCCCACTTTAACAGATGTGCTTGGCTGCCGAGGTGTGAGCCCCTGTGACCAGCTTGCCATCCTGACTCGTGGTCCTGAGGTCAGCAGGGGAAGACCTCAGGGACTCCAGTCATGCAGGGGACTTCGGGCGTGGCAAGCACAGTGCCAGGTCCTCTCTCCACTGGGCATCAGCCTGAAACCAGAGCCCTGGGTGGCTCCTGGCAGCACCTTCTGTCAGAGCCTAGGGCTCTGAGTGCCATTCTAATTTATGGGGCCACAGGACCTGGCCTGAACTCCTTCCTCCGTCACTCTCCCAGCAGTAAGCATTGCTCTGCCAAGCTGGGCCATTGATCTTCCACAGGCCCATCCAACAGGGCTTGTCCATTGAGGTTGGAGGCGGAGAGCTTGGTCCCATGCTAGCTGCTCTGTAAGCATCAATGGTCATATTCATTCATTCACTCATTCATTAATTCACTCACTCACTTACATCATAACCCTTCAATGGATCAGGGAGGAAAGCAAGAAGGGAGGAGCCATGCTCAAAACCTGAGTCTCAGGAAGGCAGGCTAGAGAGCAGTCAGCAGCCTGGGCCCTGCTCCTCCACCACCCACCAGCAGTGTGGACTGACTCCAGCTTCTCTAAGGGTGAGAGGGACAATCACAGCATCTGTCTCATAAAGTAGGAGTGAGGGCCAAATGCATGCAAATTATTAAATGCATATGAAATGAACATGCAAACGTTAGGAAGGCCGCTGGGCACATGTGGTCAGTGTTAGCTAGCAATACTAAGTAAATAATAACAGTATCTTTCTCTGCGTGGTGTATGTGCATATGTGTGTATGCCTATGTGTGCATGCCCACAGAGGCCAGAGGAGGATATCACGTGACCTGCTTTTCACTCTGCCTTATCCTTTCAAGACAGGGTCTCTCACTGAAACTGGAGCTAGGCTGCCAGCCACTAGCAAATCCCACAGCACTGGAATTACAGGCATGCATGTGGCTATGGCTGGCTTTTTATGTGGGTGCTGGGATCTGAACTCAGGTTCTACCCACTGAGCCATCTCTCAAGCCCTGATAACAAGATCTTTAAAAAACAGAAATAAAGCCGGGTGTGGTGGCACACGCCTTTAATCCCAGCACTCGGGAGGCAGAGGCAGGTGGATCTCTGTGAGTTCAAGGCCAGCCTGGTATACATAGTGAGTTCCAGGAGAGCTGGGGTTATAGGGAGACTCTGTCTCAAAAAGACCAAAAAAAAAAAAAAAAAAAAAACCCAAAAAAACCAAAAAACCCAGAAATAAGCCGGGTGTGGTGGTGAACATCTTTAACCCCAGCACTGGGGAAGCAGAGGTGGGTGGATCTGTATGAGTTTGAGGCCAGCCTGGTCTACATAGCAAGATAGCAAGTTTCAGACCAGGCAGCACTACATAGTGAGATCCTGTCTCAACCCTTCCGCCCCAACAAAAACAAAAACAGAAACAAAAAATGATTCTTTCCACTCTTCCAATGGCTTCTAAGTTCCTAAAAACAGTCTCTACTCCGAGACTACTCACCCCACGGGGGAGGAGAGGGGGGACTAGTACCCAGGGGCAAGGCAGTTCTGCCAGGACCATGATGTTCAGATGGAGGAGACTCACCTGTCCCCCCAGCCCTTGGCTGGGGGGAGTGAGGACTGTTTACTTGCCCTTGTGACTTGATAGGAGTGACGGGTCCCTACTCTACTCCCCAGCTATCTGGGTCTACTACCCTTGCTCTGTAGGGTCTATTTGGAGGCCTTGGGGGTGACAGCATCACTTGGGGGCCTGAGCCAGGGTTTATGTCTCAGTTAGGGGTGGTAATATCTCAGGGGACAGGAGATCCTGGCCAAGATGGAGGGTGGAAGGGACATAGGTAGACAGAACCATCCAGTTCATCCTTTCTTTTTTTTAGTCTTTTTGAGAAAGGGTGTAGCTCCAGCTGGTCTGGAACACACTATGTAGACATGGCTGGCTTTGAACTCACAGAGATCTGCCTGACTCTGCCTCCCAAGTGCTGGGACTAAAGGTGTGCGCCACTATGCCCGGCTATCCTGCTGGCTTTAAGGTCACACAGAGTGGAATGGAGGAAAACGCATGAGCTCTGAGCTAGACAGACCTAGACCTGAGTGCTGGGTGTCACCAGGCCAGTGGCTTTCTCTCTCTGCTTTTCTTTCTTCTCATCTGTAAAATGCAGAACACCCTCCAGGTCTTGTGCAGGAGGAAGCAGGACAATGTACTGGCTTGTGCTAAGTGCTCATGGACCCCTCCTAATCCTGTCACTTCAGAGAAGCTGTGTCCCTGTAGATACTGAGGAGGGTGGTAGTGACACCATTCTGGAGAGGAGGTTCCTTTCTGCTGTCCCGGTGTCTTTGCTCCCGAGGGACAGCTGACACTATCTGGAGACATTTTTGGTTGTCACCTATGGGGGACTGCTACTGACATTGGGTAAGTTGAGGCAGGGATGAGTCTAATCATCCTACACTGTACAGAACAGTCTGCTCAGCAAAGAATTACCCAGTAAGGCTGAGGAGCTCTGTTCCATATGTGTGTTGTCCAGGACATTGGCCACTAGCACAGATGACTTACAGAGCAACAGTTCCCTGCCACCAGACCTGCTGAGAGTGTAACAGACTTCCCATGCAAGAGAATGCCCACTATTTCACGAGCTACCTTTCCATTAGCACAAATTTAAATGATGACATTCTGGATGCACTGGGATTAGCAAATTATACTGTGAATATTAATGACACCTATCTTTTTTTGTGTGAGGGTGCTTTTACCCATGTGGTTAGAGGAGGACATCAGATATCCTCGTCAGTCACTCTCTATCAAATTCCATTGAGACAGAGTCTCTCACAGAACCTGGAGTTAGGCTGGAAATGAGCAAGCCCAGTGATACTCTTGTCTCTACCACAGTGCTGTTAGCTAGAAGGGTATGTAGCCACATTTGACTTTTTATGTGGGAAATTAGGATTTGCACTCAGGCCCTGATGCTTGTGTACTAACTCTTCTTACAGAGCTGTCTCCCATCCCTAAATTTTAAAAAAATTACCTTCTTTTTTTTTTTTTTAATTTTTGAAGTGGGAATGGGGTTGAGACAAGGTCATGCTATGTAGCCCAAACTGGCTTTGAACTCACTATGTAGTCTAAGTCTATGGTCCTCCTGCCTCAGCTTCCTGAATGTTGGGATTGCAAATAGGTACCACCAACACCAGTTCTGTTTAGTTTAACATTTTTTTTTAAAAAAATAAAGAACTAGAATATCTAAAATGACAACTGTGGCCTGAGTTCAATTTATTTTGGAGAGTGTGCTGACGGTCAGTGCTGGGGGAATCCTCAAAAGTAGAAGTGTGAGTCCTGAAGACTGAAACACCTCTGTCCAATGCCAGAACAATGAGTTGGCACCTATCCTCCTATTGTCCCTCATGGTACTCGGACTCCCTGTCAAGATGAACCGAGGGTACGGGCTTGAGCATGACCCCCCTTTGGTCCCCAGCCCCCACCAGAGGCACCATGCCAGCCTCTCAGACAGCACCCAAAGTGCCCCAGCAAGCAGACAGGCGTGATGACAGCTGTGGCTTAGGGACCGGAGCACCCTGGCTCCTGGCCTACCCCCTGGCAGTGCCCAGTTCAGAGCTGGGAAGGAGAGGGAGAAGAGAGGGGCACTTTTCCCAGGCTACTAGTGCCTGGATCACACTCCACCCCTGTGGTACAATCCTCAGAGCCCACCCAGTCCTCTTCTGGGGTCTATATGCTGGACCACTGAGGTACACGCCCAGGCAAGGCTGAAGCTGGGGCTGAGGCCAGGGGCAGAGGTGTACACAGGGACCCTGATCCTGGGCATGCTGGGGTGAGCAGGGCCAATGCCTGCTGTGGAGGTGGCTGGGCAAGAGGGCAGGAACTGGAAGTAGTGGGCTGGGAGAATATGAGGAGAGGGAGACACATAGCCAGAGGACTTGGAAGAGTCAGATGCTCCAGTGTCAAAATAATTTTGGGGCAGTAAAGCACAGAGACAGTAGGATGCCACCCAGGTCACCAGCACAGGGTCTTACCTCCAAATCCTGTGTGCCTCTCCTCTCAGCACTGAGCCCTCCCACACTAGTGATGGAGAACATTTAGAATGCTTAGAGCTAGGAACAGATCAAATCTCACTGTGGATGCAGCTCACTTTATACCTTCAGACACACCTTTCCCAGGTCCCACACCAAAGTCTAGGGAGTTTCCTTGGGTCAAGAGCAAAGCCAGGGCTAGCCTCTATATCCAGCTGTCTCAGATACCTCATACTCTTACCAAGTTTGTGGACAGGGAAGACCCGGAGGGAATAGCTCTGGGCTTTGGGGCACTCTCAAAGACATCATCTCTGCACCCCGAGTTAAGCCAGGCTCTCAGCAAGTGAAAGGGGTCCCTTCTCTCATCCTGGGGGGAAGTCAGGGAAGGCATTTGGGGACGCAGAGCACATGGCCAGTGCCTGGAGACAGGCAACCACTAGCAGCCCCCGGGAGGGTGAAATCAGAGAAGCCCCAGGGCAAGACTCCTTCAGGGCAGCTCCCTGCTGGGCCTGTGGATCCCAGCACATTTCAAGGGGGTTCTGCTGGTTGTGGAGTAGGAAGCCGAGTGGAGGAGGCTGGGCTGGGGTGAAAAGTGAGCCAGGAGGGGCTGAGGAGCCCTGAAAGAGGAGTGGGTGGTGGAGAGGCCCACGGGTGCTGAAGCCACCCAGGGAGAGGCGCTGGAGAGGTCATGGGAAAGCTGGGGTAAAGGGAAGGAGTCTCAGAGAAGGGCTGGGACTGAGTATGTGTATGGGTGTCTTGGAGCCTCAGGATTTCAGGGAAATGAGCACAGGTTTGGGAGTTATCAGGTTTCTGGGTGAAGTTCTTAGGATTTCTGGAGGGCTTCGAGTTGAGGGACAATTGGGGAGCCAGGCTTGTCCACACCCCTGAGTCCGGGGAGGGTCTGGGGGTGTGGAGCGCGTGGGTGAGTCGGAGGGGGTCTCGGGTGGCTTGGCTCACCTGCAGACATCGGTCCAGAGCTGCGTGCCCAGCACGTACACCGCCTCCACGCGGCTCCCGTACTGCAGCCGCACCGTCCGCTCCCGCTGCATCTTCTCCCTGGCTACTGCCTGCGCGCTCCTTCCAGGCCTCTGAGCACCTGCTGCAGGTGAGTCCGCTGCCGCGCCTGCGCCGGCTGCTGCCGCGCCCGCGGCCTTAAGCTGCAGCCGGGGGGCGTGGCGTGGGCGTGGCGACCCACAGGACTCCTCTCGCAGTGGGCCTTGGCTCTGTCCGTCAAGCGTGGCCCCGCCTCTTCAGCTTCCAGACCCGCGAGCTGTCAGTTTCTGCTTTGCACAGTTGGTACGCTCATTCGGTCGTTCAACAACCCCATTTCGAGACCCCCCAAGACCAGGGGGCAGTAAAAGCTATCAGGGATCAGCTGGAGGGAGAGGCAGGGGTCTGTGGGAACACAAGGGGGTGCTGGGACCAGGGAAAGCTCAGTAGAGCAGAGGTCTGTGGCTTCTTAAAGGAAGCGTTGCAAACTCAAGGGGGCGGAGGGGAGCCTCCAGACCAGGGCCAGGAAGCTGGGCACAGCCGGGCCCCTCCACATCATATCCACGTTATCATGGGAATTGGGGGGTAGGATAGAGTGGGGAACCCGCAGCTGACAAGGATCAGAATGCCAAGCCCAAGCATGGGTGTGGGAAGAGCCTGGGATGGCTCCTTCCCAGGGATGCGCTGGGAGTGCATTCCGGTGAGCAGACTGAGCTGGGGTCAGCAGTGAAGACCCAGGCTGGGCGAGCGTGAGAGGGCTGGAGAGGAGGGGATTGAGCTGGGCAGTGTTTATGGAGGGAGATTTGGGTGGCTCCTGGTGGCTGAGAGAATGTTCCCAGTAGAGAGACAGGGAGGGAGCAGAGGATTAGGCCCCAGCCTGGGCCACCCAAAAGAATACCAAGGTAGAGGTCAGAGCACATCAGAGGAGGCCCAGGTGCAAGGTGACATGTAGCAGGCGTCTGAACCAGCAGCTACCCCATCCAGGCCCTTCCTCTTTGAATCCACAGCAGGGGCTGTGCAGCAAACAGTCACGTTTGAGGAAGTGGTCTCAGGGGAGTGACAACTGGAGATGGGGGGGCAGATGAGAGAGAAAAGGGGTAGGGTGGATGGGTGCATGCTGGGGAGGGAGGTGGGCTGATAGGGCGATGGGAGGTGGGGAAGGGGTGTGCTTGGACAAAAGGGAGGAGGGCTCAGGAGTAACCAAAGCCCAGGCACACCCAGCCAGCTACCTGACTGCAGCCATCTTCCCAGCAATCCGGATTAGGGGACGGTGAGGGCCCCAGCTGCGCCTGGGATCTGGGATCTGGGAGGAATGTGGGTGGGGAAGGGAGAGGGCTGAGTCTCAGCTGGAGGGGAGTCACAGTTCAAGAGAGAGGCTGGTAACTTCTGGTTGGTCCCTGGTGCTGCTTTCTCCAAACAGGAGGCAACTTGTAGAGGGCACCTGCCTAAGTGGGCAAAGAGCCCAAGTGGCACCAAGCAGGTTTGGGAAGGCTCCTCTGAGGCAGACTTGGGTCTGGGCATCCCTCCACTTGTATGCCATAGATCCTACCTTCCAGGGGTTCAGAGCATCACACTGTCATGTCACCCACCCCACCATGTGATTGGTCCAGTGTGTGTGGGGACAGAGTCAGAAACAACAGCGTGTTTTTTGCCTGCACCATTCGTGCACCCATACGCACCTCCAGTAGCACTTCTCATGTATTAGATTTAGATCATTATATCTTTCTAGAAACTGCCACTTTAGAGATGAAGAGATAGCACAGAGAGGGTGAAGAACTAGCCTGGGTGGCATAGCTTCTCACAGTGGCAGAGCAGGAACTTGGGGGGCCGTAGAGGCAGAGGCAGGGGCATGAGGGTGAGAATGGTGCACCCTGTCTCTAGGAACCTCATGTTCCACCTCTGCCGTAGGTAATCTTTCAGCATGATAGGAAAATATTAAATGTCATTAGATGAGGTAATATGTAGAAAGCAGTGGCAGAGTCCAGCCCAAGGCCAGTGCTCAGGAAACAAAGCCCCATCCCCTTGCACAATCCACCCCCATCTGGCCACCCACACTTAGGCTCCTGCCGTGGCTCTGGCTCACCCTGTAGTTGGGCCCAGTGCCTGGCTTGAGGGGACAGGAGCTTTCTGATGCCCAAGGGTTTAAAATAGCTAAAGTGGTCACAGCTGTTAGTGGATTCAGGGCCGGAGGTCTCATGCAACTTGGCTGCTCCTGGTGCTCCCTGGGGACCTGGAAAAGCTATGCGGCATCTCATGGTGCCTTTTGGGGAGTGCCAACAAAGGTCAGGCTCAGCTCTAGCTAGTTCCCAGCACTGATGGCCCTGGACCCCTCCCCCAATCCCCACCCTTGCCAAACAGGGGGCCAGAGGGCCTGAACCTGGAGGTAACTGTTCTGTGGGGTGCTCTGCTCTGATCCGTTGTGGTGGTGCTCTGTGCCTGGCTTTGGAAGAGCCCGGCCAGGAGAGAGTCAAGTATTCATGAGCCTGCCTTGAGATTGATGTCTCACCAAGGACGCCAAGGACCATACACAGGCAAGAATTTACAAGGCAAGGCACCCATAAGCAATGCCTGATTACTGTGGAAAACTAAAGAAATTCTGACTGCCCAGGACCTAGCAACAAAGATTGCTGTGCACATTTTTTTTGTAGTTTTTTTTTTTTTTGGCGTGTGTTATAAATGGGGGAATGTGGGATTTGTGTGGTGGGTGTGTGTGTGTGTGTGTGTGTGTGTGTGTGTGTGTGTGTGTGTGTGTGTGTGTGTGTATGTGGGTGTGCTTGCTTATGTGTGCACATCTGGAGGCCAAAGGTCAATGTCAGGTGTGTTTTCCTCTGACAGGCTCCATCTTACATTAAAAAATTATTGTTATTTTATGTGTATGAATATATTGCGTGCACCGCCATACTAGGCTCTGAGGAAGGCTTTTAACATGCATGTTGGGGAGCCAAACTCAGGTCCTCTTGCTTTCAAGACAAGCACTTTACCCTCAGAACCATCACTCTAGCCCCATTGTATACTTTGAGTCTGATCTTGCAGGTTCTGCCCAGAGGCAATGAGCCATGCCACAGAGCCTCAAGGCTCTGTCAAGAGCTGATCTGACATTTTCCGACATCTGAGTTCATTTTATCCCAACAGCCCCATGTGGTGTGTTACCATGCCCCATTTTCACAGAGGCCCTGACCCACTGGTCAGAGGACTCCGGTCGTTGGATTCAGTAGACTTGGGGTCAGACCTGACTCTGGTCCTCACCAGCTGGGGCCTTCTCTCGCCCTCTGCTTCTTCTATAAATGAAACACTGGCAGTACCCAGCTTCTATGATAGCAGAGGATAGGAAGGTGGGTGTCAAACTGCTCAGCCAGTCATGTCCTGGCACTCTGAAGTTTCTGACTGTCTTTGCTATTTTGTCTATCACTGCACTCTTGAAACTATCTGGGATGTGGGAAGGGCACTCAGCCTTGTGGGTCATGTGAAAGGCCTTGGGCACTATTTCAAGGTCATGGGAAACCATGGAAGGCTCTGGAACGTAGCAATGGCACGACTGAACTTTAGGAGACTCCCTGTGGCTGCTACGGGGAGACAGATACAACAGGAATCCTGGCTCGAGACAGAGCAGCCCTGAGATGGGGCCTGTGCCCTCCCCACCACGACTTCACCATGGAGCTTGCCAGCTGCCCTCCAAAACAGCCCTGAGTTGGCCTTGCCTCACTCCCTCAAGTCCCACTTTCCCCAGAAATGCCCTCCCCCCCCCGCTCCTGCTCCCCAGGGAGGAATCTCTGGCTAACTGGGGAAAGAGGGACAGTGAGGGGCTTTAACTCCATGTGAGCATCAGCTCTCTAGCTCACAAAGCATTTCAGTTCAGGGAGGACTGGATGGCGGTAGGATGATCTAGTATGTGCTCAGACAAGGAGCATGTCTGCTCTGTGCTCTGCCTGGGCTGACTTCCACCTGGGGACCCTCCCATCTACTGTCATCTATCTCTGTATCTGTGTATATACCTGCCATATCTTTATCTGTGGTCCATCCAACTATCAGCTGTCAATAATGTATTATCTATAATTCATCCATATATTTATGTTACCTATCATCTATATCTGTCTCTCATTACCTATCAATTATCTGTTATCTATAAATTGTATGTCATTAATCTATCCATTGTTAATCTATCAATTAACCAATGAATCTATATATCTCTGTTATCTATCAATCATCTATTTATATCTCTATCTCTTCATCTATCTATCGTCTATCATACATGTATCTATCTATATCTATCTATCATCTATCTATCTATCTATCTATCTACCTATCTATCTTCTATCATCAATCAATCAATCAATCAATCAATCAATCAATCATCATCATCTTTCATCTACCCATCTATCTGGATTGACTAACAGGACTGTGTGGAGTTAGCAAGTCTAGAATTTGTGGAGCAGGTGGACAGGCTGTCTGGTCTCTGGGGAGGAGTGGATATGCTCTAGACAAAGCCTGGCTTCTGCAGGCTGGCAGCCCAGGCAGTCTCTGTTGCATTCTCCAGGCAGACTGCCTTCTCCTGTGCACCTCAGGACTTGCTCTTCTGTTGATCGGATGAGGTCCACCCACAGTTTAGAGGGCTTCATTGGAAGCCTGTGGATGAAATGCTAAGTGTGTCTAAAAAGACACCTTCATAGCTACATCTAGGTTGGTGTTTGACTCGATGATGACTGGACCACAGACTAGTCATCTTTTCCGGTGTATGTGTATGTTTCTGTGTGGTGGATGTATATGTATGTGGTGTCTGCAGCATATGTGTATGTGGTACATGTGGAGGCCTGAGGTTGACATCAGATGTCTTCCCTTTTTTTTGAGACACGGTCTCCCTCTAGCCCATTGGACATTATAGGACACAGATACACTTCCATACATGCAGACAAAACACCCATATACATAAAATAAAAATAAATAAAATATTAAAAATATAAAAATTAATTTCTCCTGTTGGTGAAATTACAGGGGAGATGGAAATTTCTGTATTTCTACTGGAAGCACTTGTGACTCCTTTAAACTTTTTGCAGCGACTGGTTGAACTATGAAAGCTAAATCATTGGTGGAGAAAGAATTCTGCAGTTCCCCAGGCATCCAAGGAAGGAGGATT